CTCTGTTACATTTTGTCCCTGTACCTTGACACTGATACATTTTGACCCCGTTCGCTGACACTGTGGTACATTTTGTCCCCATATGTTGACACTGTGGTCCATTTTGTCCCCGTACGTTGACACTGTGGTCCATTTTCTCCCCATACGTTGACACGGAAGTACAATTCTTCTTAGCACGTTTACACTGTGGTCCATTTTGTCCCCGTTCGTTGACACTGTAGTACATTTTATCCTGGTACATTGACACTGTTGTTCATTTCCCCCCCGTTCGTTGACACTGTGGTACATTTTGTCCCCGTTCGTTGACACTGTGGTACACATTTTGTCCCCGTACGTTGACACTGTGGTAAATTTTGTCCCCATACGTTGACACGGTAGTACAATTCTTCTTAGTACGTTTACACTGTGGTCCATTTTGTCCCCGTTCGTTGACACTGTAGTACATTTATNTCTCTAGTATTTTTCAGTGTTATATATGTATATCAGTTCACTCTCTTCTATTTGTCAGTGTAACACAAGGTCCATGCAGTGGGCTTTCATATTACCTATTAATGGCATCTTAAAGCAATTTGATATTTATATTTACAGTTTCATGCGTTTCTGTCCTCAAAAAAAGTCTTTACGATATGAAATGTTTGAATATCCCACCGATATTCTCTGGAATGATGACCTGTCTGAATAGCCTCCACGCACGCGCATTTTCCTGTGATGGGAATTGCTCAATTTAGTCCGTGGAAAACAACAAAAATAACGGAAGTTTTTTGTCAATTCGTACAGCTATTTTTGATATTTTTCATTGCTATGATCGTAAAAGTGAATTTAAAGCACAAGAATAACATTAGCACTAGGCCTACTGCTCATTTATATGGCACGTTAATTACGTCACACCGCAGAGGCATGTTTGTGAAATTCACAAATCAGTAATTCGGTCGCGGTGGGAAAACATTGTCGCCCTCGAGTGATTTTTTGAAATTTAATCCACAATTGTTGAATGTTGAGCTGGCAAAGAACCCCGGAGTAGACATCATATTGCTACATGTAGTAGACTGCATTGTGAATGCATGAACGACAGACCTATCTTCATTCGTGGTATTCGAGCCGAGTGATACTGAAAGCGACATTTCAGACGAAGCGGGGGGAGGTAGATGACTTCCGCATTGTTTGCTTACTTTAATGTCACGTTCACATATTACTACCCACTTTCGGTTCATAGTATTATGACCCGAAACGTTATTTGCTTGGTTTACATAGTGGCAACACAAATGTAAATATATGTATATCATTTCACTCTCTAGTATTTTTCAGTGTAATACATATATATCATTCCAATGTTTAGTATTTTTCAGTGTAATACGTGTATATCATTTCACTCTATAGTATTTTTCAGTGATAAACATATATATCATTCCACTCTCTAGTATTTTTCAGTGTCATACATGTATATCATTTCACTCTCTAGTATTTTTCAGTGTAAAACATATACATCATTTCACTCTATATTATAGTATTTTTCAGTGAAATACATGTATATCATTCCAATGTTTAGTATTTTCAGTGATATACATGTATATTTACATTTGCATGGCATTGTCACTATATAGCCTCTTTGAAAGCTGTGTCGTTGATGGAAATTTAACTACCATGCAGCACGAGACACAATTCTTAGCGTATTAATACAACACTGACCGGAACTACAATATCCAATGTAAATAAACATGACGGCTGCTGAAATATCGCTGGGCATTGTGAGACTTGACAATGTCACTGTAAATTTATGTGCAAAAGAAAAAAGTAAATAAAAAATACTTTTATTACAACAAAAACAAGACCAAGGTCTACAATTTCGTACAAAATGCACATCGGTTGAAATCACCAATGCCGGCAATGGAAACAATTTTAACACTCATGCAATTAACAGAAATATCGTCTTTTACACTGTACTAATCAACAGGGTTTCGTTACAAATGTCTGAAATACACATATTCTATAGACCTACTGACACATATGTTACAGACCTACTGATATGAGTCACAGCACACATAAACATTTCAGACATTTGTAACAAACCCCTGTGCTCCGTCGTAAGATCACTCACTTCAAACGATATCAGTTTCACGCGTCTCGCAGCCACGGTTTCCTCAGTTTCTGATCACGACATGTCAAAAAACGATGCTGTTATAGAATCTACTGCCTGTAGTCAGATTCCCATACAATCAACAAATAAATTCACGTCTGGATTCTTCAAAAAATGAGCAAAGATAAACTTTCGAATTAACTTCCAANTCATTCATCAAATTACGTCAACACAAAATAATAATACCACAAGTCCTTAAATAAAATTTTAAGCATAATATTTGCAATTTGGTCGTTTCAGTATACCCATACGTATATAGTAAGGATGATTAAGTATTAAACGAAGATATTTTTTTTCCCTGTAAATAGGTGTTTAGATTACGTTAAAACATCTAAATAAAACCATTAATAAATAATGATATGCATCGGCTACGATTACAAATAGCTGCATAATTGAGGGAGTAAAGAAAAAATATGAATATGCCCCTTTTCAAAACTTAGGATTGATCCCCTAGTATCATAAACAATTTTAGTTATTCAGTGTAATACATGTATGGGATTCCACTCTTAAGGATGTACTCTTCTGAGGTTTCAATCACGTTCAAGTCTCGTTTTGATCTGGTGTAATGGGTTTTTGTAATATTTGACAACTTATGATCAAGTTTATTAGCAAACACGCATCTGAAAAATATGTCAAAAAACTAGATGCCTGTTGTTTGTAGAACTTTTTTTACAAGAATTTAAAAAATTACCAATTCGGCGGCCATTTTGAAAATGTGTATTATTGTGTAAATCTTGTGCTTCAAAAAAGGCCAAAATTTCACATTTTTGGCACTAGATTGATCACTTAAATTGTCATGGTGTCGCCATTTTTAATTGTAGCAGGTTCATTTTTGCTGTACAACTTTATAATGTTCAATATGATAAACATAATATGCAACAAACTGGAAAATTATACATTATTGATATTTTTTTTTTAAACAAATCATAATGCGCTAGCGCGCATTATGTTGATTGCTTGTAAAGCTGTGTCATTCAAATAGATCATAAATACCATACAAAAACAGTTCAATGCTTAAATATCATTCCCCTCTCTAGTATTTTCCAGTGTAATACATGTACATCATTCCACTCTTTGGTGGCAACATCTCCAACAACCCAGGTGGAATATACAATTGTCTGGGGTGGATGTTGCGGTATCTGTGCTGTTGCATTCAAGTGAGGTGGCACTATGAATGATACCGTCAATAATAATATACAAAATTTAATATAGCGTCCTATCTAGCTAAACTAAGCCACTCTAAAACACGTTACAGTACATAGATATACAATTTATACAATCAATACAATTAGCATATACATAATTCAATACAAGTTTTGAGGAATTCGCAGAAGTTGCCTTATCAGGCGCTGACTACTTGTCCTATACCACCTGGCTAATATCTCCCTATTTGTGTATGCCTGTGTGTGTGCTGGAGATGTATTGTGTTCTGTTTGTAGTGGGACCGTGCTTCCAACGGTATCATTTATAGTGCCACCTCACTTGAATGCTACAGCACAGATACCGCAACACCCACCCCAGACCATTTTACACTCCACCTGGGTTGTTGGAGTTGTGTGGGCAGGAGAAAAACACTTCCTCTCTGAACATTCCATGCGTACGACGACTTCGGGGATTAAACCTAGGCCGTCTGCGTAGAAGACCTGAGTGTTAACCACTAGATCAATCCGCCAATTGAAAGCACGGTCCCGCTACAAACAGAACACAATACATCTCCAGCACACAGGCAGGCATACACACATAGGGAGACATTAGCCAGGTGGCATATGACTAGTAGTTAGTGCCTGATAAGGCAGTTCCTGCGAAATCCTCTCAAATTGTATTGATTGTAAGAATTGTATATCTATGTATTGTAAAGCGCATTAGAGTGGCTTATTATAGCTAGATAGGGCGCTTTATCAAATGCTGTATATTATTATTGTAAGTATCTGTTTCATTTGAACCTCATGGCGACTACAGTTGAAAAAGACAAAAACACTAATCTAGAAACATTCTTGTCTTGATAGAAGAAAAATCAATCTTTTCGTCACGTGTACATGTAGTTAGTGACTGGAATAATTTATCTGACGATGCACTATGTAGTTGAGTCGGTCACACCTAACTAATTCAAAAACACACCTACTGCAAGGATCAAAGTACGTAGTTTGTTTAAGTGTGTCAACCATCTTACTTAGGACAAGTAAAGGTAAGTATACCCAGTGTAACCGGCTTCTTTGTCAGAAGGTTTTATTATGATAGTATAGGGTGATAATGGTTGAATCCATGGACATTAAGTTTTTTGCAGGAGATGATTCATCGTTAAAAAGGTTGGTAGTGTTTTATTGCTATTATGTGAAGGCTGGGGTATTCTGTGTAGGTGGCTGACAGTTGATTTGTTCCAAGTACGTACACAGATATTGCTCGTACCCGGACGGTAAAGCGTGATAGATCTAAACACTGACTATAGCGATATCCAGAGGGTGACAATTCAATATATTTTTTAACCCTGAAGAGCAACTGGAATGAACAGTTTTTTTTTTCGATTCGCACAAAAATGCATTTGAGAAATTTGGAAATATTGGTTCCCTAACGTTTTTTAAAGATAAACCCCTGACTTGTGTATCAGGACTTTGGTAGGCGGGCGGCGCAGTAGCGGCCAGTTCGGTTCTCCGACCGGACGTGGAAAGGTATGGGGTCACCTGCCAGATCACGTGGGTTTTCTCCGGATACTCCAGTTTCTTCCCACATTAAGACCCCCTCCATGCGCTTACATCCGGGCCAACAAGAGTGATTAATATAAGTTATGAAACTTTGTTTCATCATTGTTGTAAAATAAATAAAGTTTCCATATTTTGTTTTTGTTTATAATATATCATAGAAGGCAAAACATGGAGACCTATACTAATGTACACAGCAACCAGTGTTATAAATCAATTAAGTGAAACAGAATGCATAAGTGTTCAATGGAGGATTCAGCACCGGATTAACACACACAGCAATATGTAAGCAAACTATACATTGCGTGATGCTGCGTCTACATAAAATATGTCATTAGTAGCTTTCAATTAGGGTATGTCAGACCGTTTTGGATTTTGTTTTAATTCTAAGTTGCTATATAGACTGAAATGAGAGTACAATATCAATTCTATGTAGGGCCCATAGAAGATGCACAGGTTACACTTTTCGGACGACATAACTGAGTTTTTGTTAATTGCTAAAATAACAGAGAATTTCTTGTTTTACATCACTTGTTTAATGGATTATTAAATCTGCTTCTGTGTATTTAAGTTACAAGTGTCAAATACAGAACATTCCTATGAAAAACTTGCTTCTCTTAGGTGTTCCGGAGATACCTTTGTCTCACACTGGGATTGAAACGTAGAGATCCCCAAATCATACATAATGTAATGTTAACGTTACGGGGTCCATGTATTGCTTACGTTGCGTCAATTCATTTTTGACGTGACCACATACAATTATTATGTACCTTAGGATTAGACAAGGAAGTCTCTTACCGAGATAGTGAGGATATACCCCGATCTCAATGGTGAACAATTCCATTCATCCGACATGGATGCATTTCGTCAAAATCAGAAGGTTTCTGATGTAATTTAGGGTCTGAACGAAGGGTTTGTCGAAGGTCTGACTCAAGTTTGATATACCCTTGGGTATTTTTTTATGCCTAAGGTATGTTATTCATGAACACGAATCTTCAGTACCATGGGGGGTTCAGCTTAAAATAGGAATGTTATGGACACATGTGCATTAATCAGAGAAAGAATGTAGAGCAAGGTGAAGGACACTTTGAAAGCTTTAATGGTACAATATATGACCTTGTCGCTAGTATGTGAATAATAAAAATGCCGGTAGACAGGTGGCATTATCTAAAAAGAAAAAGCTTTTGGAAACACCCCAGCTTGCTGTTCTATACACTATGATAAAGCAAGAACCTATTATACATAGCATTAGGAAAAGTGATCTGTAAAGTGTATATGTTATTTTACAGATGCTATTTTGTCGTCTGCTAATTTATCGAGTACCTTTTTCTATTAAAGCGAACTTAAATAAAAAACTATATGTTCAAGGAGTTGAATCCACAAGTATTTGCTTAAAGCGATCAAACGGACAACACACAGAAGACAGTCTTCCATTGCTGCAAAAATAATGATATAAGCACAATTATCTAACACAGAAAGTTAAAACCAAGCACAAGAAATGTCGAGGCAAATGTGCTTTGGAATAGCTTGTTTGATTTCGTCAAATATTCCAAGAAAAAGCTGAAGACATTACACTGGTTGATCAATAAAGTCATCAATTTTCGTATTTTCCATATAAAAACATGTAAAGGGTGCTCCAAGTATAGCACTACACCACAGGTGTATTATTCCGAACTTTGTGAAATAATCTCCTATGAATTTATTATCTCCTATGAACGTTTTAAATATATGGAAAGAAACTGTTTACCACTTGCCAGAAGCTGTAACTTCAATTATAATAATGTTAACCAAGTGCATCTGTTATTGAAAGTATCAGTTGTCCGCATGTAATGTAATCTTACAAGTCTGTAGGTGAACTTATATTTGTTTATTATTCTTTCTGCAATTAACATGCAAGAATATAATCCTTCTAACGTTACATTGTAATTTTAGTTGTAGCCTTGACTCATCTGTGAACACGATTGTTGGCCTTGTCGATAATGTCCGCAGAAATTCTCCATGCTTCTAGGAGTAAAGCAGAAGTTCTCTTCCACGGACTTCCGTTTAATCCCTTTGATAGGACAAGTAAGTACTTCAGTTTAAAATGTGTATGCACTTAACATGTTTAAATTGTTATCACTCTTCATTTTTTTCGGGAGATTCTTAATGAAAGACCCAATTTGATTATTATGTTATAAGTGGCTGGAACCCTTGTTTAATTATTAAACTCCAAAGGAAACCATTGAAGAACTCTCAAGACTCCACTGGGAACCCTTGTGTAACTCTTTAGACTCCACAGGAAACTAATGTCTAACTCTCAAGACTCCACTTGGAACCCTTGTCTAACTCTTTTAACTCCGCTGGTTACCCTTGTCAAAATCTTGACTGCACAGGCTACCCTTGTCTAACTATTTAGACTCCACAGGACACCTTTGTCTAACTATTTAGACTCCTCAGGAAACATTTGTCTAACTCATCAGATTACACTGGGAATCCTTGTCAAACTCTTTAGACTCCACCTTGAGCCCTTGTCACACTCATTAATATTCAAAAAGGAATCCTTGTCTCATTTCATCAGGCTAAGCTGCTGGTCACCGAAAACCTAGGCATAGACATTTCTTACACCCCTTTTTCACCCTGGACAGTTCTGTCACTCCTTCAGACTCGACAATCACCATGGTGCAACTCCTTCAGACTTCATTAGAAATAATTGTATCGCTCCTTTATACTCAACTTAAATTAGTATACAGCTCAAATTCAACGTAAAGCATTTGTTGGATAATTAGGATAATATATATATTATCACCTTCATTCATAGTCGCGTACGTATGTTTTCATAGATTGTTCTATGTTGAAAACACATGAATTCTCTATACTTACGAATAATGTAAATGAAAGAGACATTAAGAGAAATGATATGATAATATGTTCACAACGTCTTCAATTGAAACGTTTAAACTTAAAAAACGTTTTCGCTCAAATCCATTATAGCAGTATAACCACATACACGATTTTATCAAATCTCTAGATTGCACTGGGAACCCTTGTTACACTCAGTAATACGCTATAGAACTTATCTCATTCCTTCAGGCTCAACTGGTCACTGGAAAGCTTACTTTACTTCCTCAAACCCGACTGGGAACCCTTGTCGCACAAAATCCACGTGAAACCATTGTTTCATCCATGCAGTAGGCACTAGTTATTTAGAATACCATTCCAACTCACTTAGGATACTATGACAACCCTTGTCTCAATTCTGCAGGCTTATTACTCATGTAAGTTCCACTAAAACACTGTGCCACGTCTTCAGACTACAATTCCAGTAATTGTACCGCTCCTTCAAAATCCACTGAAAGGAGTGTGCCACATAAATTAAATTGCTATACTACAAGTTAAGAAGTAAACCAATTAGTTCAGTATTGTCTTTTTCAGATAATCTGGCATTGTGGCGTATTGCGGAGATGTTTATCGAAGGATGCTTTATTCCACAACAATCATCGGTATTTGCAGATCAAGTAGATTTGTTTCGTGATACGAATAACATGTTGTTCACGGTCGATATGTCGTATAAACTTACCCAACAAATCCATCTCGTCACGAAATATGGAAAGTAAAAGATTCTTGCATCCTCAACCATGTTTCAAGTGGGTACGACATCCTATGTTTTAAAAGTTAGACTATCAAATTACATCACCAAGGAATTGTTGGGAGAGTTCTATTTAAAGTTTGTCCACATTAACGGGAATTCGCGGAGACCACAGCCACTTCCGGACTGGTATGTCAGTCGCTTCGCCGATATCGTGGAGAACCAGGGCCGTTTACCGACAATGCCAAGCGTCCCTGACATGCCCGAGGACGCGTACAGTACGACTGTGCTGACGAGATTTAGCGATTTAGATACAAATCAACATGTGACCACTATCCAGTATTTTAAGTTTTTCACTGACTGCGCGACGGAGGCGGTCTTTACTAAATACTACACACACTTTACGCATGACATGTGTTGGTATCCGGTGATGGCGTTTGACGAAGCCATGCTAGGAGAAAGCAAGGCTGGCGAGATACTCACTGTCAGGACATGGCAGGACAAGAGTGATGCAACGCATGTGTTCTTCGCGTGTTTTAAGGATTGGAAATGTGTCATGAAGGCATTATGTTCACAGTTTAACACGAAAGGAACCAACACTACAATCTAACCTGTAGCTAGGGTATCCGTCTACTATTATAGTATTAAATGAAAATGTAAAACCTGGATACAGTCTTATCGTAGATAATCAACATTTTGTTTTTTCAATCACCGGTTTTCCCTTTCAATAAACAACTCTCTTCGAAAACTTCTGTAGAAATGAGATCTTTTTATATCATAATATTTAAACTAAACAACATTTAGGAACATAACGGTTGTGGGTATAGGTGGCACTGGAAAACGAAATAAAATACATAATTCCAGATCAAATTCGTATTGTGTTTCATTCCAAAAAATGTAATTGTTAGGTAAACTTGAACAGTGCCTTTGACCAATATCGAGTTTGTTTAGTCTTCAAAACGTTATGGTTAATGTTCCTATTTGTAGGCAAGCATCGAAAGTATATGTTGCGCCACTACCGTGTATTATGTTTCCGGATCTACTGTCCGATACCGGGTTCTAGGTCATATTATTAGTGTGTGTCTTCGTTTTCCGGTTTGGTGCCCAGTAAAGCCGTACGTCAACAATCAAGTGTGTTTGTGGTTTCTGTCTCTTACTGGCGTGGTGGCAGCGGTATATATGAACTCACATCTTCCAACAAACGTATGAAGAAACGAATCGTCCACGCACAATAAGGTAACAGTCTAAAACCGCATCGTAGTGTCATCTCTACTGTGGAACGCACTTGATAAAAATGGCTAACACGCACAGGGCCCCGAAACAATGGTGCCTTACAAAAACTGAAACAGTCAATTCTTTTGAGAATTGGAGGCAGAATCTCATGTATACCCTTTCTCTAGACCCCAACTTTGCCCCGTTTCTGGTTGATGGCGTACAATGGCAGAAGAAAACGAGAACAACACAGCACAGGGGTTTTGCGGATGATGGCGAACCTGTACCCGAAGCAAGGCGGCGGACACGTGATCAAAAAGTGGGAAAGTTGAAATTAATGTTAGGACAAATTGCTAACTATGCCCCCAAACTTTCTAGAAATACTATTTGTGAAAAATTCCACGTCAGTTGAATTCCTTAGGCAACAGATTCGTCTTCATTATGGGTTTCAGTCGACAGGGGCCCATCTAATCGACTTTTGCTCCATTAAATTAANACACGTGATCAAAAAGTGGGAAAGTTGAAATTAATGTTAGGACAAATTGCTAACTATGCCCCCAAACTTTCTAGAAATACTATTGTGAAAAATTCCACGTCAGTTGAATTCCTTTGGCAACAGATTCGTCTTCATTATGGGTTTGAGTCGACAGGGGCCCATCTAATCGACTTTTGCTCCATTAAATTAGAACCTACGGAGAGACCGGAGGACTTATACCAAAGGCTGAGGACAACCTATTAAACAGAGATTCAGGCATCACCCATCATTGTGAGCGAATTGATGAAGATGAACTTTCACCGTCTCTGGAAAATTTTGTTGCATTAACCTGGTTAAGGCTCATTCACAGTAACCTTCCTAAACTCATGAAGCAGCGTACGGTACAGAATTACGATCACGCACGCTTGCGTCAATAAAGCCGGAAATATCGCAAGCTCTCGATTCACTACGAGAAGAACTTCAAACAACTGAGGACGCTAAAACTATTCGAGCCGCTGCATCGTTTCGTCCCAAACAGTCGAAACCATTTAGAAAGAGCTGGAAGTCTTGTCCGTTATGCAAAGCTGAAGGAAGGGCAAGTGACAATTTTTTAAGTAAATGCAGCTTCCTCCCCGCACAGGACCAGAAGTTCTTTGCTAGAACACGGCAGATTGCGGAAATGTGCTACGAGGAGGTGGAGCCATATCCAGAGAGTGAGGAGCCCCAACCCTCCGTCATTGCCAGGGTCAAAATACTACAGTCACCATATCTGGATGTGTTCCATGGCCATAATACTGTGCGCCTTATCATTGATAGCGGCGCAACAGGAGATATGATACTGTCTGGCCAGGAGAGTACTTGGAAGTAGAACTCCCTGAGGAGCTTGGTGCAAAGGTGGCGGTGGAACCACATGCATCAGTCAACAATACTAAATCCAACTGGCCTCAACCTTCCATCATATCTAGTATCTCTGGCAAGATTCGCATTCCTAATCTCACATGAGAACCTCAACTGGTGAAGAAGAATGAACACTTCTGCATTGCCCGTAGTACATTCCTTCCCGACAAATCAGCCTCGGGTGACGCTCCTGTGTCACCCAAAATATCCAAATGTCCAAGAACAGTTCATCACTCTGATCTTGTCAACCTTGATTCTGACAACATCATGCCATGTGACATGAAGGCCAAATTTAAAGCTGTTCTTAAAGAGTTTGATGAGGTTTTCAACCCGATATTTGCTAGGTACAATGGTGCAGTAGGCCCCTTCCAGGAGCATGTAAATATGGGGCCAGTTCAGCCCCCCCCCCAGAGAAAGGGGAGGGTACCTCAGTACTCCCGAAAACAACTGGGCGAACTTCAACAGAAATTCGACGAGCTAGAGGGTATAGGCGTATTTAAACGACCAGAAGACGTCAACATGGCTGTTGAGTATGTGAACCCATCATTCTTGATTAAGAAGCCAAATGTCGGTTTCCGTCTGGTTACCGCCTTTGCAGATGTCGGTCGCTATGCCAAACCGCAGCCATCCCTTATGCCGGACGTGGACTCCACCCTCCGCCAGATTGCGCAATGGAAATACATCATCGACACAGACCTTACAAAGGCATTTTACCAGATTCCGTTGTCGCGGGATTCAATGAAGTACTGTGGGGTAGCCACACTATTCAAGGGAGTCCGAGTCTACGCAAGATGTGCTATGGGAATGCCCGGTTCTGAAACCGCCCTTGAAGAGCTAACATGCCGAGTACTTGGTGGTCCTGTGGAAAAGGGGTGTATCGCGAAAGTCGCAGATGACCTTTATTGTGGTGGTAACACCCTGGAGGAGCTTTTAGACAACTGGACAGATGAGTTGAGAGCACTAAGTCAGAGTGGCTTGAGCCTCTCTACAACAAAGAACGTGATAGCTACCATGCAAACTTCCATATTGGGATGGATATGGTGTCTTGGAACAATCCCTGCGAGTCCCGATCGGATATCTACTCTATCCACATGCCCGATCGGCGCCTACAAAGTGTTGGCAAGAGTTATGAAGGACTGCTCGAATCTTACTGCACCCTTCGATAATGCAGTAGCAGGACGCGAGTCAAAGGACAGTATTGCGTGGTCGGATGAATTGATCTGTGCTTTCGACAAAGCACAAAAAGCACTGTTATCCAACCGTACTATCACACTGCCTCGACCCCAGGACCAGCTCTGGATCGTGACTGATGGTGCAGTAAAGAATCCTGGTCTAGGGGCTACTCTCTATGTCACACGTGATAGAAAAACTGAGCTTGGCGGGTTCTTCAGTGCCAAGTTGCGGAAGAACCAAACGCGGTGGCTTCCATGCGAGATAGAAGCGCTCTCTATTGCAGCTGCGATCGAACATTTTTCCCCATATATAATTCAGTCTGCCCTCAATGCTTGTATCCTTACCGACAGTAAGCCATGCGTTCAAGCCTTCGAAAAGCTTTGTCGAGGGGAGTTCTCCGCTAGTCCACGTGTAACTACGTTCTTGTCCTCTATTCTTCCATCTGACTTTGCCAGCCGTAATGCCCCCTCTTGTGAAGACCCAACATGTCAGGTCTGTACTTTTGTGAGGTTAAAGACGGATTCCGTTGTGCGCAGCATCTGTTCTGATGAGATCCTTAACGGAACTGCTCAAATGCCCTTCCTTAGTCGGTTAGCCTGGCTTGGTATTCAATCGGAGTTTGGCGACTTGCGCCGCACTTGTGCCCATCTCAAACAAGGCACTCGCCTATCGAAGAAGCAGACAACTGTCAAGGACGTCAAACGATATGTCAATGTTGCTTCCTTCTCAAAGGATGGACTACTGGTCGTCAAACGCAACATTCCGTTCTCAAAAGTGACAGATAACATAGTTCCACGACAGGTTCTCGATGGCCTACTTACAGCTCTTCACATTAAGCTAGGACACCCCAGCAATCATCAACTCAAGTCCGTTGTCAACAGATATTTATACGCTCTAGACATTGACAGGGCTATCCACCGTGTCACTGACAGTTGCCATCAGTACGCGTCCCTGAGGAAAACCCCTTCGTTCTTGGCAACCCAGAGTACAACTGTTCCCACGGCAACAGTAGGCAATCAGTTTGCTGCTGATGTCATCAAACGTGAACGTCAATTCATCCTCCTTATACGGGAATGTGTTACATCGTACACCTCAACTATGCTACTTGAGAATGAACGTCGAGATTCGCTCAGGGAGGGTCTCCTTCGTCTGTGCATTCCACTCAGTCCATTGGGTGGTCCTTTTGCCGTTCTACGGTCCGATGCCGCTCCAGGATTCAAAGCTCTAGTAGGTGACGAACTTCTCGCACAATATCGTTTAGCGATTGAAATTGGTAACCCGAAGA